GCGTTTCTGAAACTTAGGTCTGCTGAAACTCATAACTTACAAGCTGAACTAAAGGACGGGCAATTGCACATGTGCAAGCAGGATTCTGCTACGGAGTGTTTTTGTTTTACGCAAGAAAGTGTGATAGAAAGCAAGTAACTCGTGACAATAGAGCGAATCCATTTTGGCTTTCAAATTTATTTTGGCTTGCAAGCTTTTCTGGATTTTTATGTCGAGATTTTCTGGAACCTAGCAGAAACTCATTTTCAGGTTTATATTCTACTACGGATTTATGCTATGTATTTCTTCCATATACAGCATTGTTGCGCCAGTTGCGGTAGGTTTTAACTGCTCTGTATCCAGTTTAATTTTGAAAAAATTTTGAACCTTTTAGCCTGGCAGAAGTAATGGATGAGCCAAAGCTCTCTCAAATGGCATTAAAAATTTTCCGGCCTGTTTTTAGAATTTATGACCCGAGGCAAATCCTTACTATCTCTTTGTTTCACGGACGTTCAAAGAATAAGTTCAAAAATTTGTACAAAATGTGAGCAAAATGAATCACGTTTCTGATTTCAGGTTCTCGGCATACACCCTTCCGATTCAGACAAACCCTTATTCCTGGGCCTGAATTACACTTTATTCCAGTACATAACACTGGGATTTCTCGGACTGCAATACTTCTGGTTCTTTGTTGTTTTTGCTGTTAATCGACTGGCTGAACCAGTTTTTCCGTGCCGTGCGCGGGACAGCACGGGTTGTATTCGAAATTTGTTCCACTTTATAATGGCATGGCCTACGATGATTGGCTACTGTATTGTTGAGCTGTTCGCTTTCCTGGAAGTTACTGTTCGTGGAAAAGCTGTCTGTAGCCATAGTGCCAGCAAGAAAGATGCATTGGTGCAAAAAGTTACTTCGATCAGTTCAGTGGATCGCGGCTGATTTGCACTCATTTTATATATTTCTAAAATGCTAAAGCCGTAATTTTTTGTCGGTTATCGCACTGATGCTGATAATAATAATGAGCGGGCTTGAAATTATCCGGTTTTGTTTAAGAGCTCTGCTTTTTTTCCTTCTGATG